CAAAATATATCTATTCTTTTTTTCAAGGTAATACCAGTGATATATCAGACGAACAGCAAACATCATCGTTAATCGAAACAAGACGACAATCCTGGTTGGATATTGATATCAAACATCTTCCCGACCAACCTATCACCGAGAAAATAATTCAGGAAAGGTTTGTTCAATATTCGAATTCAGAAATAAAAGAGAAAAGAAAAAACATCATCTAGCAATTTATTCCTTATAATAACACATTGTACGAAAAGATAGTTTATTGATTGAAGCATTGGAAAAACCATTATAACTCCTTAATGCTACCTTTAGAGCGATATCAATTTTAATTTTTTTTTTTTTTAATTTTCTGCAACTTAATTTTTTTCTACTGTATGTTACGTCTAAATTGGAATGCTATCATAGATTTTAAAAAATTTCAGGAAGCGTTGCAAAAGTGAACGACGATCGAGAACACGCTCACCAATATTGAATGAAATTAGCGGAACGGGACGAGCCACTAGACCGAATAGTTTTACTAATTTAGGTCACAACCTGGTGGGAAATTAATCAATTGCATGATGAAATGATTATTAAATTTTCACTTATTATAAGTGAAAGCATTTTATCTACATGAAAGTATCGTCCTTCCGTGAAAATTCTCAAATAATATAAGAACATTTAGGAAATTATGAAATTTTCGGAATTTTTGAAGGACTTGAAATTTCTCGAGAACTTTTCGGGACTTTTCAAAGATTCCGCATGTTTTGTAACTATGCATAATTATTGACAAAACGATTCGATCCATAAACTGAATTATCTCCTAATGTTTGCTTTTACGTTTGCTAAACAACTGTTTTTTAAAGATATAATTTTAAATCTTCAGAATATCTTATTTCCTAAAACTGACTTCTGTTTCAGGCGTGTACGTTACGAAAAACTTTTTATTGATATGACAGCAATGATTGCATTAATTATTTCGGGTTAATAATGGCTTTGAAATTGCACATTTCTACGTCTCTGCAAAACTTAAATGAACTGATTAAAGTGCTATCTCACGTGAAATACGCCGAATCAAAGAAAATCACAGAATTTTAATAAACAAATATATATATATATACATTTATTTGGTAAAAAAAATTGATAAATTTGTGTGGAAATAATATAAACACGGCCAGTATTCCCGTCAGCAAACAAAGCAAATGTGCAAACTATAAAATTAGAAAAACAATGCATAAAAAACCTAAAATATAAAAAACAATATGTAAAAATTCAGCTATCGATTGATTTCTATCTTCCAGTATTCTCTTCAAGAAGTGAATGTAACAAACTGAAAGAATTTGTGAAGAAATGATCATTTAAAAGTTTGAAAATCAATTGATAATCGGTATCATTAAAAGTACCTATAAATCATGAATGAATTAAAATGAAAATTATTGCAATTTTTAGATGATAATATGAAAATTAAAGAGCAATTTCTGATTGCAATTTCTGATCAATTCATAACAAATCAAAGTCATCAAATGATACAAGGACATACTGATAACTCGTTTCTTTTAATTCGTTTTTTTACCCACCACCTCCTCTCTCCTCTCCAACATTTCCTGATGAAAATTCTTGCTAAATTTCATAATCGATGTGCAAAAATGAAGGAACGAATATAACAACAATTTTTTTTTTTCGTATAAATTACATATTGTAACTGTCATCATCCTTTACATTTTTTATCATCATTATTTTGCATTGCATACAGCAATCTCGACCAATCAGCATTTTGTAAAATCGCGCAAGCCTGATAAGTATTGAGAGAAAAAGAGTGACATCAGATATGTGCTCGTTATTTTTCAATTCATTGCTATCATTTTCTATTAAATATTAATATTGCAAAATTTCATATCGATGATGTCTTCCGACGGATATGTAAATCGGACATTTATTCCTCCTCATACTTCTGATATTGTGTATGTGTGTGTGTGTGTGTGTCTGTGTGTGTATGTGTGTGTATGTATATGTGTATGTCAATGTTTCTGTGTACGTGTGTATATGTATGCATGTGTGTGCATGTGTGAGTATGTTGCGTGTATGTGTATGTCAGTGTCTGTGTGTATTTGTATGTATGTGTGTATGTATGCATGCGTGTATGTATGTGCATGTGTGCATGCGTGTATGTATGTGTATGTGTATGTCAGTGTCTATGTGTATTTATATATATGTGTGTATGTGTGCGTGCATGTTTGTATGTGTATGTGTATGTCAGTGTCTATGTGTGTTTATACGTATGTGTGTATGTGCGTGTATGCATGTGTGTGCATGTATGTGTATGTGTATGCATGTGTGTGTGTGTGTGTGTGTGTATGTATATGTGTATGTGTTCTGTTGCTAATAAAAGCCAACTTTTTCATATTAATTAATATTCGCGGTGTGCATTTGCATCTTTCTCTGTACATATCCGTTACAACAATCAGAAAAGTGTTATAGCTTGTTTGAAGGGACAAGCTAGCAAGTAGTGAAGATTTGAAATGTTTCAGTGATAAAATGAAGTAAACATGAGGTGATGAATTACAGGCATTGTGCTATCAAACATATAAGCATAACAATTCTTCTAGAATTTAATGAACCGTAATTCATCAATATAAAATTTCATCTAAAAGAGCTAAACTGTTTATTATCAATTTCAAGCACAAACGTAAAATATTGAAAGTAAAATAAGAAATAAAAAATTGAATTCCTTGAATAATTCCTTCCCATTTCAATCAGTTCAGAGCAATACGACAAACATGGAATTTCAAATTCAATTTTTGAATTTCAAACAATAATAAACAGTCTAGCTGTTTACAGATGAAATTCCATACTGATGAACTTCCTATAAGCCACACCTCATTAATGGAAGAGCTTTGTATACTTTCATTTTTTGGGTCAACTCTGTTTCCAGGGTGCACGTGCTGTATTGTACAATTCCTTTCGATGTTTACCTTTGATTGAATTTGTTCAATTTATCGTTATTTTATTTTTATGTTGAATTATTTGTATATTTTAACTTTCTCATTTAAATGCTAAACATTTATTTGTTATTATATTTGTCACAAAATATACACATAACAGTTCAAAAAATTTCTTATAATATATTCTAATATTTATAGATAAAGAGAATTTTGAGTGTATTTCATGTACATATCAGCACATTCTATAGGCTAATATTTTACAATGCTAAGCTACAATACTTCATTATTCACTGGTAAATTATGCTTTATTTCATTTTTTTTTCCAACTGTTGTTAAGGTGATAAGCAAATTGAGAATTTATGAGGAAGCGTAGAGAAGCTTGAGCTATTTTTTTTTTTTTTTTTATTGTTCTCCTTCCTCAATGCAATTATTATAAAATTTGTGCACTGGAAATATATTATACACCGAAATATATTATTTTCCAAATGAATCATATCGATATTGTAGAATTTGAATTTGAAGAGCTCGAAATATATTAGAATCATGTTGATACGTGCCAGTATACTCAAAATTCCGTTTATCTATAAATATTGAAATCAATTATGAGAAATTTTTTGAACTCTTTTACCCATATTTTTATGCTATCATATATTAATACATACCAATCAATTAACAAACATATTCTTTTGCGTAGCACATTTAGCATATAAATTTTCACGTTCTTGTAGATCCAGCTATCATGCATATGAACTCGAGAAAAGTTTAGATTGGACAATTGATTAGTTTAATGGGTACCTCTTAAAGTGCTTAGTCCGATTTCTGGCGACATTATGGAAGATTGTCTTTGGTAGTACGTCGGGTTCATCGGTCACTCTTACTCCATAAATTTCATCTTTTGAAATTTAGTAAAGAGCATTTTCATGGCACAGCAGAACACGTTCGGTATATTCAGGAATGTAATAAATTCTCGAGAGTTATTATGTAGTTTTTTTCTCTTTGAACAGAAATTTTGACTGCTTAATCTTCTATTTCAGATATTCTAACAGCTGTTTATCATCGTTTGCAGATATAAATCATTGAAAGAACTCTATCCGAAAACAGTGTATGTCGAAATCTGTGTTTGTGGCATACAAAAGAACGATACAACAAGCAACTGCTTAGTTTCTTGAAGTTCGATGGAACAAAGCTAAAATTGTTCTGATTTTTGTATGGATTTAAGTTGTAATTTTTTTTGAGGATTCAAATTTTCATCAAATTTGTTAATTTTAACTGGGAAAGTTTTAGGAATAAATTTAACAGATTAGTTTGTTGAAAAGAAAAATATTCGTTGAAGAGTTTGAGCTCGAGAAAATTTATAAGAAGTGTTGGGCGAGTATAACCTTTATTTATTGGATTTGGAAAAAGGTAAAGATAGGTTTGCTAGGAAACATAAATGTGCTATGGCGAATATTTTAAAGCTTTATTTTTCAGAAATTTGAGAATCTCTGTTTTTATACTGAAAGTAATTACTTAATTTGGTATAAATTCTGTGAAAACATAAACATAAAGATTCTGATTTCCTTTTTTGTTTACTTTTAAATTCCACAAAAATTTGCTCAAAGCTTTGTACTGTTTGAAGTAAATTTTAAAAAGCTAAACAGTAGTTGAAACTGGACTACTGGAATGGCTTTTTACTAAATGTTAAACTGATATGAAAGCGGGGCTCTCATTATCGAGTTTTACTTTTGATTATTTGAGAAATAGCGCAGAAAATGCATTTTTTTTCTTCATATAGAATTCATGCTTAGCTTTATCTCGTTCTATACTGTACTTTCTTATATTACCAAGATCTTTCAAGTTGTCGGGATTCGTTAAGGTTTGGCACATTCAATTATTCCACTTATCTATCCTACTTGCATTTTATAGTTACTTGCCTTTATAAGACAGAATGAATACAAAAGTGATTTGAATAACAAGAAAGTACGGAGGGAATTGTTCCCAAAATTTTAAAAAGTGATATGCTACTCATCAATAGATAATTAATCTTGAGTAATTTGGAGTCAAATTTGTTCAAAAAGTTAAAAACAATTTTCATAGAGCATTTGCAATCATGCAGTTGATATTATCTTACCGTAAAGTTAATACCAAAATCATGACCGTTCCCAAGATTTTTTCAAAGACGAAGAATTCGTAGTATTCACTGTAAACGATCTTTGATTAAAATTCAAAGATTGTTCGAAGTGAAATGCTATGAATTCATGGCCCACCTGCATTTACCTATAAATTCTGGATTTAAAAGTTGTAGTTATATTTTTAGGATGCTTTTGAATTTCATGTATTCCATAGCGAAATTATGGACAAATAAATACTTCAAAAGATTTAAATAGTCCTGTGTACGGTATCGAATTTAGTCATTTGTTGTTACCATCAAAAATTCCGCTTTATCAAATCTTGCAAGTCACACGGCAAAATCAGTATTGAATATTTCTTTATCCGCAACAGGACAATTCATCGTCGGAAATTTCACGAAAGAGAGGTGGTGGTTAGGCTTACTGTTTGTGTTCTTGTACAATTCCGTCGTGATTGAGAATTAGATGGTAGATATAGGATGAGTTTATCCAATGTTCTTTAACTAATATTTATAAAATAAATGTAAGTATTGCTTATTATAATATCATTTTAACTACTTTGATCACATTCCAGATGATTTAATTCTACTTACTTATTTCAGAACTGTTTTATGAATAACCCGTGTAAAATCATCATTATCTTTCACCATCGCCGACCACCCTAGCGGGTCTTAATTTGTAATTACTATTGCTTGTCGTATCTTTAATTTCGTGTTAGCAGATAAATTCTGCTATTTTCAAAGGTTTGTGTTTTTCAAAATTTCTTTTACTATTTTGGTTACGAATCTTCAGTAATGTTCTTGCTAAAATTTAGATTTTTCAATATATCTATAGATGAAAACATACACTGTTAAATAAAGTTGGTTTGTAAAATATATACGTGATAATTATATTTCATAGATTAGATTCGATTAGTGATTGTGAATATTTGCTTATGGATACGAAAAAAAGGACAAAATGTAATATGTAAAAATTTTAATAAATTGTATATTATAGCATGTCAACTTCTACTTTATCTGACGTTTCTCTTGATGAAGGCACTTTTGCTGTAGAAGATGTATCCGGTGTTATTGATGATTATTTTTTTGAAGGTTACAGTTTTGTCTTTTACAATTAAAACTCGAAAGCTTTTGCTCGCTAATCTACTGGAATGCCAAATTTGCGTTGTTTATAACTTTATTCTAGAATTTCGAAATTACAATTAACTGCTTTTTTCTCAGAAATTGAAAATTATTTGCATGATTGCTGTAAAATGTTGAAACATTGATGTAAATTTCAAAATAATAGAAAATCGGTATGATTTTTCATAACTCAAAATCTAGTCATTTTGTATAGGTGCTGAGAAGTTGCTAGAAGTATGGTTTAATAAAAATCAGGATGGAGCTACGTCTTTGAGAAATATACCATATTCGGAGCTCGTTGCTATGCTGGATATAGCGCATTGCCACATTTTGCACTCTAAAAGTAATGAATGTATGGATAGCTACGTTTTGAGGTTATAAATTGTACAAAAAGTTTCTGAAATTATATTTGAATTATTTTATGCATAAAAGATGCTTATTTCTTTAAAATGAATTTGTTTATTGATTTCTGCTATTCAAGATTTCTAGTTTTTCGCATTTCGTATATGAAACTTTTAAAGAATCAAGAATTTTTACAAATGAAGGATTTATTTTCATTTACCAAGCATTACTATTAGTTGATAAATTTCGCGAACAGCATTGTTCATAAAACCTAAAAATATACTGCATTATAAAAAGCCTTAATTTACAGCGAAAGCAGTATGTTTGTCTCCGATTTCCGTATCATCTTAAAAACATGTGGTACAACACGGTTACTGCATACAATAAGACGTATTTTACATCTTGCTAAGGTATACTGCAACATGGACAACGTTATCAGTGTTTTCTATTCAAGAAAAAATTTTATGCATCCTGAAAGACAACCCTATCCACATTCTTCGTTTGAAGCTGAAGTTGATTATCTTGAAGAACATTTCACAGGTATGATATACAGTACTTATCTCTGTTTTTTTTTTAGCACAACTAATAAGTTCTTTGTTTTTTTTACTGTTTGAGGTGAGGAAATGTTTGATATCATTAATTTTCAAGATTTTGATTTCAACATTTTTTTTCCAGGAGGTTCCGCTTATTGTATCGGACCACAGAGACAGGATTGTTGGTTTTTGTACACAATGGTTGCTCCACAAGCCGCTTTCCCATTTCCGGAACATACGCTCGAAATACTTATGAATGGATTACCAGAAGATGTGCTTAATGTATTCAATGCTAGCGTGAGCAAAGATGGGAAAGACTGTAGAATGGTATTATTAATTGCTAGTTTTCATCAAATTTAGTTTTTGAGCGGCTATGTTAGTTCCTCCTGTTCTCTATGCAGCATCATTTATTTCAGATCTAATAAATTGATAAAATGCTCAAGTAGAAAATTAACTTTTTACAGAAGTCTGCCATCAACACAATACTACCACCCGGTATCATTGTCCACGAGGAATTATTCAATCCATGTGGTTACAGCTTGAATGGATTAATTCCACATTCAGTAAGTAGCAAGTTGAAATATATAAAACTGTTTTCTGCATTCATTCACTCAATATGATACATTACTCCTCAGGATCATTATATTACGATTCACGTAACACCAGAACCAGACTTTTCTTATGTCAGTTTTGAGACAAATCAGAATGCGCTGAATTTGAGTGAACAGATGCTAAAAGTTTTAGAAATCTTCAGGTATGTTTTTGTTCAAATATTATGCTCAAAAACTTGCATAATTTAATGAATGACTAATACAAGCTTGAAAAGGTGATATTGGCTACCTCGCAAAAATTTTCTTATTTTAAGTTTCATCTTTTTAAAATGATTGCCTGGCTAAGAATTATTGCTTGTCACGTCCTCATGGGAAGTTCTTTGTAGACCGAGCAAATTTTTACTAACCATTTTCACCAATGAACTGTCAAACGAAGGCAAAGAAATGCAGAAAAATTTGTGGGATCTAAAAATACGTGGATATCGCCGTGCGAACTTGCAATTTCTAGAATTGCCGGTACGATTTGTTTTACATAGAGTTTGAAAAACCAAAGTTTAATTTATTGGTCAAGAATATAAGATAAGTAATTATGGATACCCGCTGAACACTCGCGTTACGTCATAGCACAATTTTTATAATTATATAAGTTCATTTACCTTACTAACACGATAAGTTGTGAAGCAACAACCATTAAATTTGATTAAAACGTGGCAAATTGAAATAATCGTTTAGAGAGTACTTCTAAATGATGATTATATCTTGATTTTAATTGTTTCTATTCTAACCATAGTTTAAGTCTTTGTTCATACTGCTAGATAGTCCTTTTTCTACCATATTTTGTTAGTGTTTATTAGCATGTAGTATTTTATCCTTTTTCAGAATGAAACACTAGTATACGTGCAGTTCGAGCGAATGGAAAGTATACAGTAGGTAACAACTGCTTTTATGAAAAAAAGGATTGGCCATTGGTAATAATAACAGTAATGATGAATGATGAATGCTTGGATTCTTCATCTTTGTTAGATCGAATTTTTTAACAGACAATTTTATACCGTTCTTAATTTTCCAACTTTTTCTTCTTAATACTTTGTTTTTTTATTCTCTTTCCATAAGCTCTTTGTTAAATGCTCTGCTGTTTCCGATATGTTTGGTAGTAAGCCTGCATTACGCTTAAATAATAAACAATTTGAAAAATTGATGGAATAGAAAAGGGAAAGAATAAAAGTGAAAGAGAATGCTACAAGTTCGAATTAGTGGTAAATTCAAATTAGAAGAGGAAGGATAACTTGACTAGGATTCAAATTAAGTGGCATGCAAACCTCTGTATCAAAATTATCGTCCTTTGCTAAAATCAATAGAGAGAGGATGTTATCGACAATAAATATTGGAAATGATGATGCAGTAAAGGGAAAGACAAAGAAATTTTTTAGTTCATTATTTCACTCCAAAAGTAATCGTAGCAATGAAAGAATTGAAAACAAGAAACTTATTTAAATTCTTTACACAAGTGCAAAATTTCACGAATAAAATTCCGAAATAATTACACTTCTACAACAATTTGGGATAACATTAATTGTAACACCAATCTGACGAAGCAAACCAAATGCGGATAAGTACTGCAATATAAAAACTGTTAGCGTTAGATTTGTATAAGATCAGATCGATTTCTGTAAAAAATTAAATCACTCCCGAAAAATAAAGCCCAAATATGTCATGATGACAACATGCTAATACAACTCCTAGACTAAACAAGCCTAAATTTATCACACTGGAAAGGGTAAAGCGTGCAAAGTATTTTTATAGTGCAAGTAAATAATTAATCGAAAGAAAAACTAAACACAAACAGGTAATTCTCGCGTTTCCTTCTGAAACTTAACAGTAAAAATCTTTGGGTTTTCCTTCATTTATCTCAACATCAAAATTCCAACAATGCTTTTCGCACGCACTATCAACATCAGGTGAAAAGAAAAATAGCACATTCCGAAGATCCCGCAAACGATATTGCAGTAAAATTAAGCCGCAGAATTTTGAAGCAGGTTAATTATCTTTTTGCAATCATTAAAAAAGAAGAAAAATGAATGGAATTGCAAAGAATTTAATTCAACTAAACAACTTAGCATTACTTTTTACTTATTTGCAACAATCACTATCATGTAAAGTTTTACTGGGATTTTTGAACGAAAATTTTCAAATAATTTAAATTGACGTCCAGATTTTTTTTTGTGCATATGTAATCTGCGCAATAAGTATTAAGAGGAGATATAATGTTAAGCAGAGTAAAATCAAGGTAATAGCACTCATAATAGATGTAAACATTCATCGAGGGGTAAATGTTTAAACAGAGTAAAATTAACATTTAAACAGAATAAAATTACTAAAAGGATAAGATGGAAGTAACTTGGATGAAATATTATGGACGAGAGATTTCAGACATATTAAATTTTTAACCATTAATCAATCTACACGTACGCTTAAGATGATATTATGCCTTCATTTTCACATCATTTATTTTCTTTTCCATGAAATACGACATCCGTAATGCTAATTATTCCATTAAAAGCATTGATATCATTAATCCATTAAATGATCAATTAATACATTATCTAATAATGCTGCATTTTCTGCAAGTGCCACTTTTTAAAATAACACTAATCAGAGAGAAAAATGAGCTTTCACGCTTTCGCTATTATTATCCCCTGCCTAATTAATCTTATTCATTAAGCTAATTTTATTTAATCTAATTTCAAACTCTTCTGAATAAAGAATCGCTA